TTCTTTTTTCGGTCCATTCTTCTAATTCTTTCATTTCTTCCATTTTTATCATTCCTTTCATATTTTCTAATCTCTTCTTTCTTTCAGGATAATCACTATATTGTTTTCCCCATTCTTCTTTTTTATCTCTAAATTCATTTTTAATATAATTAATTTCTTCATTAATTCTCTGAATTTCATATTCTAATTTTGTGATTTTATCTTCCATTTTCATTTCTTCTATTTTAATGATTTTATCTATTATTTTATTCTTTGCTTTTCCTAGTGTCTCTTCATCATCATTACAGTCTTTCATTATTACTTCCATTTTATTCTTAATATCTTCTATTTTACTCATCGTTGTTTTCCCTTTTTCTATCACTAATCTTCTTCTTCTAACTACTTCGTTCATCCTATCAAATATTCCTTCTCCTCTTTTAATTGCTTCTGAAATGTCTCATTCTCTTGTTTTTCAAATACCTCATTCTTATTACTGCCTAAATAATATTGGTATTGTTTTGTAGTTTCTTCAATTGATTGTTGTATGCTTGGAAGTGTTTTTATTACTTCTTTAATAGTTTTATTATTCATCAATTCTTCCATTCCACTTTGTTTTGATATTTGAAAGATTAAACTAAACAATTTAAATAAATTTGACACGTTCATAATATTCACTAAATCCATAAGAAACCATTATATTCTAATACCTATTAATATTGGATATTGAAATACTTATCATGAAGAAAAGTATATTCAAAATTTTATTTCTTGGATTTATTTCTGTTCTTGCTTTGTTTTGTGATGCTTATTTTATTTTGGTTGTGAGAAATATGACAACTAACTTTGAATGCTCTATACAACAGAAATATGGTGAACTAAACTATCTTGAGAAATATTTATCATAACAAAATAATTTAAACAATGATCTATGGATGAATGATAGGATAATATATTGTATCAAATGAGAAACAATAAATAATCTACCAAGACAGTGAATAAATATGACGTTATACAATATAAACTTTTGATATTTAGTCATCTAATATTAAATATACAAATATAAGAAAACTCATATAATACTACAGTTGTACTAAAAATGAAGAGAAACAAATAAAACAAAGGAATAATGAAAGATACTTAGAAAAAATTATTACAGAAAGAATAGTCATAATTCACTAACAGAATAAGTTAATATGAAAACATTTGTAATTCATAATAAAATGACACTGAAAGAATTTGTTGATGAAATAATATTAAGAGTACTGAATAAAAATGCTGAATAATCCTATAACTAAATATAAACTAGATGAAATAATATTATAAAATATACTTCTAATTAAATGAATGTTATTAGGTATTATAAAGGGTGAAAATAATTTTGTTTTAAATAATTGTTATTATTATCTCATGATATGATTCGTTTATCTGGTATGTTTTACATAAAGAAATATTAATTTTACTAATTATTACAAACAACAAAACCATTTATAATAATATCAATATTCAATAAAAAAACAAAGCTCAAATAAAAAAGTATCAACAAATCAACTAAAAAAAGTAAACATAAATTTATCAATTGAAAGATTGTTCAAGCAAAAACTAATAATTTATAAAAAAACAAAGATAAATAAGGAATTATATTTAGCAACAGTTATTAGTATTGTCTTTATTTATATATGCTTTAAAATTCAGTTTTCTTTTGATAAAGTTCTATCATTAAAAAGTTTTTTTTAGCTCTTAATTCATAATGAATGTCCCCCGATACATTTCTATGCAGAATATATTTACTCTTTTGTTATTATGTTTACCATGTATGGAATTTGAGAAATAGTTTGATAAAACCATTTCAACACACAACAATATTCTTTTTATGACTTATTCTTTGTTTTTCTTTTCATTGACTTATTGTCATTATTTATAAAACTCAGCCTATCTTTCTTTATCCAAGTTAAAGAGTGTTAAATTCTTTACATCTTGTTTTTATGTTCAACCATTAGTGGTAAGTTTTTTGTATAAATTTGTTGTTTATTATTTGTTATTTTTTTGTTCAGTTTCATACAAATAAATATGAATGTAATTTTAATACTGGTATACAACACATAAATAGATTTGTCTCTTGAAAAAAAAACAACAACAAAAAGAATATTCTTTGAAACACAAGAAAATGACACTTTTGTTATTTTGAATGGATTTAAAAAGATTTAAATACAAACTACCGAAAAATCGATGGTTTAATTGATGAATTTTGACAGCAAAATGCTGCCAAAGTAGAATAAATAATAAGAAAAAAGATAAAATAAAGAAGGAATAGTCCGAAGGTCCTATTTAATAAAGTCGAAAATTGAAAAAAATAAAATAAAGGAAAGATAAAATGGGAAGTTTATGACATTCTTGGCTTAAAGAAAATCGAAAAAGAATAAAAATAGGTAATAACAAATCATAAAGAAAATTCAGTGAAGAAAGAAAAAAAATAATGGAAGTTATAAATAAGGAAGAATATCTTATTAACAGTTGAACCTAAATCATGGCTGTGTCATTGATCATCATTGTTTTGTGTCTTATCTCAAACAGTTATGCAGAAGAATGTCCAGCTAAAAAACCAATTGTATTTATTCCAGGTATTCTAGCTTCAATATTAGAAGCTGAAGTGGATATTGCTGATATTTCCCAAACCCCTTTACCAAGTGATTGTGATACTCATCTTGATCATCAAAGATTATGGATTGCTTTAAAAGATTTAAATCCTTTTAATAATGATTGTACTTTAGGATATCTTACTCCAACGTGGAACTCAGAAACTAAAGAACAAATTGATATAGAAGGAGTTAATATTGTTTCACCAAGATTTGGAAGTACATATGCATGTGATGAAATTGATCCTAATTTTCCATTATCCATATTTGCAAAATGTTTTCATGATTTAATTAAGAAATTTAAGAAATTAGGATATGTAGATGGAGATAATATGGTAGGAGCATCATATGACTGGAGATACTATAGATATGGAGAATATAAACATAAAAGAAATTGGTTTGCAGACACTAAGGAATTAATAATTAATACATATAATAAATATGGAAAAGTAGTTGTTATTTCCCATTCAATGGGAGGATTAATGTTTTATAAATTTTTAGATTATGTAGGAAAAGAATTTGCAGATAAATATATTGATAATTGGGTTGCAATGTCAACACCCTTCCTTGGATCAGTTAAATCTATTGCAGCAGCATTTCCAGGAAATAATCTTGGACTTCCTGTTAGAGCATCAAAAATTAGACCATTTGCAAGAAGAACAGAAACAGTTGCATTATTATTCCCAATAGGAGGAACAAAAATATTTGGAGAACAAACATTAATGAAAATTAAATCAACAGGAAAAACATATAATGCAGACCAATTAGAAGAATTAATTAAAACATTAGATGATCCTCTCTTCCAAGAAAATTATCTTCATGGAGTTCAACATGGAATG